ACTGCAAGCAACATGATGTTACTGCATTCTACATGTTTCACTGCAAGACATATGATTCTGCATGCAGCATGCTGTTACTGCATTCTACATGTTTTACTACAAGATATATGATACTGCAAGCAACATGATGTTACTGCATTCTACATGTTTTACTGCAAGACATATGATACTGCATTCCACATGTTTTACTGCAAGATACCTGATACTGCATTCCACATGTTGTTACTGCATTCTACATGTTGTTACTGCATTCTACGTTTTACTGCAAGACATATGATACTGCATCCAGCATGCTGTTACTGCATTCTACATGTTGTTACTGCATTCTACATGTTGTTACTGCATTCTACATGTTGTTACTGCATTCTACATGCTGTTACTGCATTCAACGTTTTTTACTGCAAGATACCTGATACTGCATTCCTTCCACATGTTGTTACTGCATTCTACATGTTGTTACTGCATTCTACATGCTGTTACTGCATTCTACATGTTGTTACTGCATTCTACGTTTTACTGCAAGACATATGATACTGCATGCAGCATGCTGTTACTACATGCTACATGTTGTTTCTGCATTCTACATGTTGTTACTGCATTCTACATGTTTTACTCCAAGATACACGCTACTGCATTCCACATGTTTTCCTGCAAGATACCTGATACTGCATTCCACATGTTGTTACTGCATTCTGCATGTTGTTACTGCATTCTACGTTTTACTGCAAGACATGATACTGCATGCAGCATGCTGTTACTGCATTCTACATGTTGTTACTGCATTCTACGTTTTACTGCAAGACATATGATACTGCATGCAGCATGCTGTTACTGCATTCTACATGTTGTTACTGCATTCTACATGCTGTTACTGCATTCCACGTTTTTTACTGCAAGATATGATACTGCATTCCACATGTTGTTACTGCATTCTACATGTTGTTACTGCATTCTACGTTTTACTGCAAGACATGATACTGCATGCAGCATGCTGTTACTGCATTCTACATGTTGGTACTGCATTCTACGTTTTACTGCAAGACATTTGATACTGCATGCAGCATGCTGTTACTGCATTCTACATGTTGTTACTGCATTCTACATGTTGTTACTGCATTCTACATGCTGTTACTGCATTCCACGTGTTTTACTGCAAGATACCTGATACTGCATTCCACATGTTGTTACTGCATTCTACATGTTGTTACTGCATTCTACGTTTTACTGCAAGACATATGATACTGCATGCAGCATGCTGTTACTGCATTCTACATGTTGTTACTGCATTCTACGTTTTACTACAAGACATGATACTGCTTGCAGCATGCTGTTACTGCATTCTACATGTTGTTACTGCATTCTACATGTTGTTACTGCATTCTACATGTTTTACTGCATTCTACCTGTTGTTACTGCATTCTACATGTTTTCCTGGATTCTACCTGTTTTACTGCAAGATATATGATACTGCAAGCACCATGATGTTACTGCATTCTACATGTTTTACTGCAAGACATATGATACTGCATGCAGCATGCTGTTACTGCATTCTACATGTTTTACTGCAAGATATATGATACTGCAAGCAACATGATGTTACTGCATTCTACATGTTTTACTGCAAGATATATGATACTGCATTCCACGTTTTTTACTGCAAGGTACCTGATACTGCATTCCACATGTTCTTACTGCATTCTACATGTTGTTACTGCATTCTACGTTTTACTGCAAGACATATGATACTGCATGCAGCATGCTGTTACTGCATTCTACATGTTGTTACTGCATTCTACGTTTTACTGCAAGACATGATACTGCATGCAGCATGTTGTTACTGCATTCTACATGTTGTTACTGCATTCTACGTTTTACTGCAAGACATATGATACTGCATGCAGCATGCTGTTACTGCATTCTACATGTTGTTACTGCATTCTCCATGCTGTAACTGCATTCCACGTGTTTTACTGCAAGATACCTGATACTGCATTCTACATGCTGTTACTGCATTCTACGTTTTACTGCAAGACATATGATACTGCATGCAGCATGCTGTTACTGCATTCTACATGTTGTTACTGCATTCTACGTTTTACTGCAAGACATATGATACTGCATTCTACATGTTGTTACTGCATTCTACGTTTTACTGCAAGACATATGATACTGCATGCAGCATGCTGTTACTGCATTCTACATGCTGTTACTGCATTCTACATGTTGTTACTGCATTCTACATGCTGTTACTGCATTCCACGTGTTTTACTGCAACATACCTGATACTGCATTCCACATGTTGTTACTGCATTCTACATGTTGTTACTGCATTCTACGTTTTACTGCAAGACATGATACTGCATGCAGCATGCTGTTACTGCATTCTACATGTTGTTACTGCATTCTACGTTTTACTGCAAGAGATATGATACTGCATGCAGCATGCTGTTACTGCATTCTACATGTTGTTAATGAATTCTACATGTTGTTACTGCATTCTACATGCTGTTACTGCATTCTACATGTTTTACTGCAAGATATATGATACTGCAAGCAACATGCTGTTACTGCATTCTACATGTTTTACTGCAAGACATATGATACTGCATGCAGCATGCTGTTACTGCATTCTACATGTTTTACTGCGAGATATATGATACTGCAAGCAACATGATGTTACTGCATTCTACATGTTTTACTGCAAGATATATGATACTGCAAGCAACATGATGTTACTGGATTCCACATGTTTTACTGCAGATACATGATACTGCATTCTACATGTTTTACTGCAAGATATATGATACTGCAAGCAACATGATGTTACTGCATTCTACATGTTTTAATCAAAGATACATGATACTGCATTCTACATGTTTTACTGCAAGATATATGATACTGCAAGCAACATGATGTTACTGCATTCTACATGTTTTAATCAAAGATACATGATACTGCATTCTACATGTTTTACTGCAAGATATATGATACTGCAAGCAACATGATGTTACTGCATTCTAGATGTTTTACTGCAAGACATATGATACTGCAAGCAACATGCTGTTACTGCATTCTACATGTTTTACTGCAAGATACATGATACTGCAAGCAACATGCTGTTACTGCATTCTACATGTTTTACTGCAAGATACATGATACTGCAAGCAACATGCTGTTACTGCATTCTACATGTTTTACTGGAAGATACATGATACTGCAAGCAACATGTTACTGCATTCTACATGTTTTACTGCAAGACATATGATACTGCAAGCAACATGCTGTTACTGCATTCTACATGTTTTACTGCAAGACATATGATACTGCATGAAGCATGTTACTGCATTCTACGTTTTACTGCAAGACATATGATACTGCATGCAGCATGCTATTACTGCATTCTACATGTTTTACTGCAAGATACATGATACTGCATGCTACATGCCGTTAATGCATGTTGCGTTAGGTGAAACCCACGAGCATTGGTATGATGCTGACCAGCTGCACAATCATAGCTATGTACTGGTCTGCTTTTACTATCCGACAATCTCAGGCTATGTACGGACGGCTAAAGTACGTATAAAAGCAGTACAAGACCACCATCGAGCAGCTGACAAAAACAGAATGTGAATCTTGAATTTGACCTAACCATCGTCCGGTTCAGGCACGGAGAAAATATGGTTTCTGACAGAACACTTTTTGTACAGCTTGTGTGACATTTGTAGGAGTGAGTGAGTGAGTGAGTGATGTGGGTTTAGTGCCGCTTTTAACATTAATCCAGTTATATCACGGCGTGTCAGCTTAATGTGGGAGGAAAGCCCGAAGCGATGCAGGTCTCAGACGTTTACCACTTCAGTGAAACCCACGAGCACGGGTATGGTGCTGACAAACCTAGAAACATAATCGGGACGAACCGGGATTAGAACCCACAATCATAGATTTCTGGCGTGCCCAAGGTACTTAACTCTGCACAGCGCATCGCGACGACTTAGACGACGACTGGGCCACCCGTGCCCCCGACATTTGTAGGAACAATTACAAATCGGAACAATTATTACTTTTATTTTGTTTCTAAGTCGCATATCGCGAGATTCACAATTATGTCTCGTCACTTTGTACTGATCACGCTTAAAGATGATTTAGGCTTCTTCTTGGAAACATCAAGTTTATTCACTTGTTGACCCGACACGTTGCAAAGCCCCGTCAAACTAGCTGTATGTGATGTAAAATGGTTAGGATTAGGGTGTTCTGGGGTTGCAACCATGTAGCACGCTATTGCGCATGTTGTTACTGCATGTTACATGTTGTTACCGAATGATACATGTTGTTCCTATATGTTACATGTTGTTACTGCATGCTACATGTTGTTACTGCATGCTACATGTTGTTACTGCATTCTACTTGAAGATACTGCATGTTACTGCAGGATACACGTTCTCCAAACATAATATATATTAATGTTAATTCATTCTACATACTGTTACAGCATGATACAAGTTCTCCAAACATAATATATATTAATGTTAATTCATTCTACATACTGTTACTGCATGCTACATGCTGTTACTGCATGCTACGTTCTGCTGCAACATGCTACATATTATTACATAAACAAAAACTAAAAGACACATGATAATATGACATTAACAAACACGAATTTAGTAATTTTCTGTAGACAGTTGATGTAATGTTACTTATCATTTAGATTTTTTAAATATGTAATGTTCATAATCGTTCACTTTCAAACACATTTCCATTCATATATTACATGTGCTGTCCTCATGGGTTAAACTTTGCCATCTTCTTTTTTCGACGGGGGAGATTATGATTTGATGGCCTACATTTATTAAAAGTGAGTGATTTAGGTACACTTTGGTAAGGCCCAAATACTCTCTCTCTCTCTCTCTCTCTCATATAACTGGAATATTGCTGAGTGCAGCAACAAACAAACAAAAAATCCCCCCCCCCCCCCCCCCCACACACACAGACAAAATTCATTGTAAAATGCCAGGGTATTTTCAATTTTCAACACGTTCAGTGACAGTTTTCTCTATATAATAGGAGCTTTGTTGAAATGTTTATTACAGTTGGGGTGTCATCTAACGCTTCATTCCTGATTATTCATTCAGCACATCAAAATAATCAAACGTATTGTCCAACTGTTCAGATTTCTGAAACAACATATGTGGCCGATCGTCATAAGCAAATAACAAAAAGTCTTTATGGTATTTTTTTCTTATTTCTTCCAAATCGTCTTTCGAAATCGTACGATATGCCTGAAGAAAGGCCTCCTTGTTTGATGCGGACACACCACTTCTCAAGCTTGCTTCAAGGGCAAAATTGATGACTTCAATTTCCTTGGATGTTTCACTTTGTTCCGGGGTAAGGGGAAACTCTTCCTGCTTTGATATCAGTCCCAGGATCTGCATCTGTCTCCAGAGACGACGAAGCGCTGTGTGGAAAGACACGCATGGACGAATCCGCTCGCGTTGGGAAAAGGCCCGTGTGACGTAATCGACGACTGAATCAACCAAATGCTCCAGTTTGAAATCTTTAAACTTTATTCTGTTGTCGACATTGAGATGCCTAAAAATGTATGACACGTCCTCTTTAAACGTTTCCATTTTCGCAACAACGTCATACTGAAGGTTGCATACATCGCACACACTAGACACGGGAATAAAGTGATCGTCAAGGCGACGCCTAGGGGTGTCTATGATGTACTTCACAAACTCACGAAATGTTACATCATGCCCACATCGAAGACTCTTATCGGAAGCCAAATCTCTGGATTGGACAATTTTCTTTCCGATTTGTTTCCATAAATAATTATTGGGAGCTACAAATTTATCAACATACGCCGAAAAAATACGTGCGTATGGATCTCTTGCAAATACATATTTGAAAGATGTGTCAAGCAGTTTTAGCAAGGAAAAACCCATCTCTCCTGACTTAGTAGCATTGATAATGTCCAGCCTATGATATTGGGATTTGAACGCTGAATGAGCAAATTTGTAGGGTGATGTTTCATGACCATCATACACACTGAGCGCTTCCCATGTGCGTCTCCAGAAACTCGAACCAGATTTGGCAACAGAACAGTACACCATCTTAGGAGTGTCCATGTACCACAAGGTGTGCAGTGATCTTAAAGTCTTCTGTCTTCCTGGTATGGAATCACACGCACGTGTCAGGTGATCCCGTCTTTCTGAGTATCGATTTCGATTGGGGAGCTGTAAATAGAATACATTCCAGTTTATCTTCGGGTATTGGTGCATGTTACAAACGAATAACCGGAAAAGAGGGGCTGCTATCAATTTGTGATAACATAAAAGATGTTCAATGGAGATATGTTTAAATATTTGCTTTTTATCCTCCATTGCAATGTGACAATTCTGTGAAACTATCATCGTTTGAAAAAGATGACGGTTTTGTTTTCTTTGCAAAACACATGATAACTATGTACACATTTCGGGTAAATAAAGTATTTGTTTGAAAAAATATCTTCAACTTAGTAGTTGTACATATTGGCATATTTGTGTAGGATTCACATTATTACACACACACACATTATTAGACATACATATCATTGGACATACACTCTTTACCCTGTTAAGAGTGTTTCTATCAGTGTCTTCGTTCAGTTCTAGAAGTGACAATACAGTCTTGACGACATCAATGCATGCAATGTTTAACGTTTAACCTGGTCATCAGACATAAGAAATGTGTCGGCCGGAAAAAGAGTAAAAGAAACCGTTATAGATAATGCACACCATGGTTTATAACCACTATGCAGGACTCGTTATTTCACATTAATATATCTCTATCTTATTGTTTTCTTTTCCATCACTTTTTATTAATAGTACAGCCTCTTCTATTGACAATCTCCGCAATTAATTCCGCTGCAGTTTCATCTCTGATTAGTCTCTGGAACGTGTCAGAATATCTAGAATAACATTTATATTTGGTGTAAGACGCCTTTGAATAATCTTCATTTTCCATACCAGCTTGCTGTTTTGGTACAAATTCACCTATGACTGGAAAATGATCTGAATCATTCAAGTTTCCAATCTTGAAAGCATTTATCACTGGAAATAAAGATGAACTAACAATCAAATAATCTAAAACACTTTGCCCATTTCTTGAAACACATGTAAAATCACCGAGGGCATCACCCTGAAATCTACCATTGGCAATATGCAAAGAGTGTGATATACATATATTCAAAAGACGTCTACCAAAGTTATTGACCTCTAGGTCTCTGTCGTTTCTCTTGGTGTGTAAATCGTCACTATCATACCACTCACCACCTGGAAGATAGTCGGCACTGTCATCAATAATACAATCATCACTGATACCTGTTCTAGAGTTAAAGTCACCTGTAAGTATAATGTCAGCATCATAACACGTTTTAATATCATGAAGACATTCATCTAGTGTATCTAAACTGTCAGTATCTTTTCCTACATAATACTGTGAGTATTCTGGTGAAACATACAGCACTCCTATTACTACATCTCTGGTATAGCCAAAGACTTTCTTGTCAAAAAGTAAGAAGACAGCATCTTGAATATGTGACAGTATTCTTGTACAACACAAACGCTTATCAACATACACACCAACTCCTCCATGCTTCAGCCTGTCTCTGCATGTAGCAAATAGTTGATGTGTGTCTGAGAGAAATGTACTGTAGTCATATACAGAATACAACCATGTCTCACATAATCCTACCACTGAGTGTTGTGACAGTATATGTTCCAATAGTTTATCCTGTAGATGGCGTTTAAGAGATTGGCAGTTCCATGTGAAGATATCTTTAGCAGATGAAGCATCAGTATAAGTTTCAGTCCCTGGGTAGTCTGTTAGTGACTGGGCCCGGCCTAACCTCTATCTAAACTCAGTCAATGTACTGGTTTTGTGGTTAAAGTCATATGACTTCCCATCGATAACCAGCTTATCAAACCGCAGGTAAGCTTCTTGTCCATCATTCCTGGCTTTTATCATGTGAGGAATCAAATTCTTCCTTTTTTTCTCTTACCACATAACTGTAATCCTCACTGATTTTCACAGGACTCTTTCTAAGCTTTTCCCTGGCATAAGTAAGGATGGCTGTCTTTCCCCTTGTGAGCTTGACAACTATAGGTCTAGGCTTCCCTCCATCTCTCTTCTTCCCAACTCTGTGGGCTCTCTCTATCCCCACCCCTTCATCACTGTCTGCTTCATCCATGTCTAGCTTATCCACCAGAACCTTTCTCACAGCGGTCTCACAATCTGCCCAGGTCTCTCTTTCATTCACATCCTTCTCAGGAATCCCGTACACCACAATATTCTCTCTCCTTGAGTTATTCTCTAGATCATCAGTTTTTCTCCCTAAGTCATTAGTCTTCGTTTCGAGACTTGAAGTAAGTCTAGCTACCTGCTCCTTTAGCCCCTTTATCTCCGCCTGAAGTGAATGTACTATTTCACTCAGTTCTTTTACTGTATATTTAACACTACCTGCTGGGGTTTCAGGACCTGGGTTCGTCTCAACATCCCCACACACAGTCACAGTCAAAATCGCTATCACGAAAAGCGTGGTCACTGACAACGGCACACACAATGTGTTAATTCTGAACTTTACGCTTGGTTTTCGTCTCGAAAAAGTTCCTATCTTTACTCTCCAGGTATTGATATCTACCCCCATACCTTTCTGAGTGCTTTGCTTTCTTGTTTACTTCTTGTCAAGAGGAAAGGGACGTCACTCTAACTGTAACTCTAACTATTAATTAACGACTTCTACGGTAGAGCTGCTGAATGCATGAGCAGACGACAAACGTCACGTGATCAGCACGTGAGGACTCAACACCAATGGTGGGAAAGTGACTGAGACAGCAAAACAAGAAAAATATCTTGCTCTTGATAAACTCAGGATAACCAATCTTCACCAAGATATTCAAGATTATAAAAGATTGAAATATCTTTTCAGAGATGTTTGCCGAAAGAAAAAAGAAGATTTTAAAAGAAGCGTATCGGACAATCTCATCTAAGTTAAACACAATACTGACGATCTCTGGAAGGAACTGAAGAAGCTAACAACTTCAAAACCTAATAACAAAATAAGTGCACATGATTGGCTGAATCATTTTCAAAGTTCATTAAATAGTGAACAAAAAGATACAACAATGGAAGATACGGTAAATAATGTCTTATCTCTCTACATGACGACCAGTGTCTGGACTGTGAAGATAACACACCTTATTTCCTAAATGCATCTATAACTTTGTCTGAGGTAACTAGAACAATTGGAGAATTAAAGCGGAACAAGACGCCGGGTTGTGATGGTATACCATCAGAAATATTACTTCATTCTGTTGATGTCATATCGCCTGTTCTTTTACGTCTCTTCAACAAGACTCTTGTAACTGGAAATTTTCCTGACGAGTGGTGTAAAGCTATAATATGTCCTCTCCGAACGAAGGGATCACTGAATGACGTAAACAACTATAGAGGTATCTCACTTTTATCGATAATTGGAAAAGTCTTCACAAAAATATTGAACGAAAGATTTTATCAGTGGACATCCGATAACAATATCATATACGAAAATCAAGCTGGATTTAGGAAGGGCTACGCAACCGTAGATAACATGTTCACTTTATATGGAATGATAATGAAATATCTCTCGAAGTCTGGTGGACGATTTAAGTGTTTTCTCATAGACTTCTCGAAAGCTTTCGACAATGTAAACCATTCTCATCTTTGGTACCGACTCATCAACTATGATATACATGGTAATATCTTGACTATTCTACGAAAAATGTATTCCAAATTAAAGTAATGTGGCAGAACTTCCTGTGGTTTAACATAATTCTTCCAGTTTTTTCAAGGAACAAGACAAGGCTGTATGCTAAGCCCGTTACTTTTCAGCTTATTTATAAATGAACTTACAACGGAGATGACAATATCAGACTGTAAAGGTATATATTTTTCAGAGGATGCTCCAAATGTATGTTCTCTCCTATATGCAGATGACGTGGCAAACACTGCAGATACAGTTGGGAGGCTTCAGCAACAAATTGATGTTCTCAGCACATTCTTTGACAAATGGGGGCTTTCACTTAATTTAGATAAATCCCAGATTGTAGTATTTCGGAACGGAGGATACCTACGCAACTACGAAAAGTGGTTTTACAAAGGAACAAAGGTTAAAGTTGTGCCATTCTATAAGTACCTGGGACACTCTTCACGCCTAAGGCAGTATGGACTCGAGCAACAACGACATTAGCACAGCAAGCCGAAAAAGCATGCCAGCTTATCTATACATTCCGTTTTAAGTGTGGTGGACTGCCAATAAATGTTGCTGCAAACCTATTTGACAGAATGATATTACCAGTCCTTACCTACGGCGCTGTAATTTGGGTGTTTCAACGGATTCAATGTATCGAAACAGTTCAGCTAAAATATTTCAAGAAGATTATCTATGTCCTCAAAATGCATGCAATGCTGCTGTTCTTGGTGACTGTGGAAGAAATACTGTCTTCGTGACGCAAATAATGAAATTGTTATCTTTTTGGACTAAACTTATCTCAATGGACAACAATCGACTTCCAAAGCAAACGTACATAATGTTACATGGACTGGGCAGTGTAAATCGTACATCGTGGGTGTCAGATGTTAAAGAAACTTTATTGAGATATGGATTTGGATACACTTGGATCATGCAGGACTCTGGAATTAAATCAGAAATACAACAACGTATCATCGACGTAGATATTCAACAATGGCAAGCAGACATTACAGGCAACTCTAAACTATCTTCCTACTCTACTTATAAATCTGTTTTGAATGTCGAACTTTATCTTACACATATCAATTTACGGACTTACAGACAAGCACTATCAAGATTTAGATGCGGATGCCACAATTTAATGATTGAACTTGGACGAAGAATGGGCTTGGATGAAGAAATCAGATTATGTTCATACTGTAGCCGTTATGGAATAGATGTTATTGAAAACGAATATCATTTTTTACTTGTCTGCAAAGCCTTCCCTCAACTCCGGGAATCTTATATTCAACCTATTTATTATAAACATCCTTCTGTTACAACATTTGAAAAGCTAATGAATTCCAAATGCCCTCAAACACTGTTAAATTTAAGTAAATACATATTTTTCGCTTTTAAATTGTATCCTACACTTCATCAATAATTGCTTGTCGTTATGTATATATATTGTTTTAATCCTCTCGTGTATATCGTAACTATCTATTTTGTTTTAATATTGACAATGTATGTCCTGTGGGCCAGTGGCCTTTTTGGCTTGAATTAACACGGCACAAACCATCACTTTTTTATCAGGTTGGGGGGTTTCCAGTTGGTCGGAAGAAATCAAGAAACCGTGGGAAATACGGTCGGTTTGAGGAAAGCAAAAATATACACTGATGCCCTTACACACCATACACAATTGAATAACACACGAACCGCTGATCACGTATCAGCCTGGGCGTTAGCGGGGGAAACAAGGCAGCACAAGTGGAAACTGAAGCATGCAAGATACATTGGCTCCTCACCTTGGTCTCCTCGCTTCTGTTTCCCAGTGCAGTCATCAGGCTGTCATGGTAGCGCTTCAGTAATACTTTTTCATCGGACGTTTGGATGCCCTCTATTGCCAATTTTAGATAATTCTTTTTCCTCATCTGAAATATATCTTGTAGTTACATTTGTTTGTCAGTGGTAGAACTTTTACTTTCATTAAAATGTAGACTTTTTCCTAATTATGTTTTATTAATGGGGCTATATAACGAGTCATGGATGACCCAGATTACTATTATTATCCGGAAACGGTACGATTCGGCTCTGCTCCTTTACCGAGTGATTGGGAATAAATTTAGGAGCTCCGGAGATTTATCACGTTTTATTGAGCAATATCGATAGTAAAAAGTACGTGTGGTGTAAGTTGACACAAACTAAGACTGAGTACAACCAGGAATTGACCTGCGGTTGATGTCACACATTCAACTACCTCCCATCCCATGTCGTCACTGTGGCCATCAGGTTTATATTTATAGTCAAATACTTTTGGATATCGCTTTTTCGGAGTAGAAGCAGCTACGAAGTGGAATTCTTTTCCTTTTCGAGATTTGCTGAATCTTTGGCACATTTCAAAGCACAGTTAAAGACATATTTTTCAAAACTCTACTTCAACATCCCATTATTTCTTTTTCGTTTTGTGAAGACGCCAACATGAGTACGCTGTGGAGTTTGAGCGCGTTGTTGTTGTTGTTGTTGTTGTTGTTATTGTTGTTATTATTATTATTATTATTATTATTATTGTTGTTGTTGTCGTTTTGTTGTCGCTGATTAGTTTAGTTTTTTTTGTGGTGCTAACTGAGAGTTTCTGTCTCAAACAAATATCTCAGTATTATGTGGCATGTCCCTTACGACATGCATTGTGTACTAGGGCACCTTTTCTGCTCCGTTAATCTAAAAGAACAAAGGAATGAACATAGGTGTTCACACAGTTCAGTTGGTACGGAATGAAACACCGTCATGTACCTCATTAACGTGAAGATGTCGCCTCGTCATGGATGTGTCTGCTGACGATTCTGGTCCATCTGTTGACACAATTCATCCTACAGATCATCCCCAATTTACCAAACACAACCGTACATCATCCTTATTCGTTATGGTATGTGCTCACCCTACTCAATTACAGCTGATGATCTGCCTCAACGTATTATATTAGGAACATAGTTTTACAGATATTTGAAATTATGAACGGAATTTTCAGTTCGAGAATACGAACCCATCTTTTCAGCTCATCAGTTCATGCATACATGGTCTGATGTTGTACGGACTTCTCATCGTAATACACTCACGATATGACATCTCTTCATTCAACACATTATACATAATCCTTTTTCTCGAAATTCTAGTATACACCCGAAGACAAGACACAAAATAGGCAAAGTAAATAATTGACTCACTCACTCCTGATTCCCTTCGCAAAAAGTCACAGTCAACCAGTGTCAAAGTGTCATTATAATATATTTCATCAACTCATCACAATGCACTCATCATCTGACACCGCATCATAATTCAATCATGATTTGACAGCTCATCATAATACACTCATCATCTGACAACTCAACATAATTCAGTCATGATTTGACAGCTCATCATAATACACTCATCATCTGACACCTCATCATAATTCAGTCATGATTTGACAGCTCATCATAATACACTCATCATCAGACAACTCAACATAAAAGGAACATGCTCTTACAGCTCATCATACTACGAACCAACACCAATGATATGCAGCCAAAGACGATGACGTGCCTCTTCCGAAATCGCCGACGTAGCTGAAACAGTGGGTGAATAATCTGTCAATAAGACACTATTAAACATGTAAAGATAAGAACATTAAACGTGTCAAATTTAATATATTTTTTTAGTCTTTTGATCTGATAAACATTTTTTTCATGGCAAGATATTTGGATGCACAGTCATCTCATTACACGTCTATTTTACGATAAAACATTGTTCTATCATGATGTCATTTCTGGAGATTCGAACATGCGCTCGCAACTTGAACGACGTAAATTGGACGACGTTATTTTGAGAGGTTAGCGTCTTGTTGTTCCCCATAGATGGAGCCGGGCAATGAAGAAGAACGCAGTGGCCGGACGATAACATTCAAATATTGGGGGGAAAGGTACAGATAATCGACGTGACAATTGCGAGAATATGGTAGAAATACCAAACGAAAACCCCTGTTCACAAAATGGACTTGTCCGACATTGCCGAGGTCGGATTATATTCAAGGAGTCATCATTATTTATATACGGGTAAATATGTTTAAAGTTTATACATTTTATTAACATCCACAACAGGCTGTACAATATGTATGACATTATGTATATTCATGGTTTATTCTCCCTGCAGTGTTTTATTGCACGATAAACAACGACCATGAGTCTATTTCTTACTTATTCAACACTGTTATCACAAACCATTCAGCTTGTGTGAGGATATCTATGCTTCCAGATAGTGAAATGACAAATATCAACCGTCATACGTATCGTTGAAACGTACACCGCTGCCACCTTTTCCCGTTTTACAATTACTTGGAAGCACGATTGCCTTAATTCCAAACTTATAGGTACGATAAAGTGAATATTTAATTGTAAACTATATTCAGACGAGTCAAAATTTAAATACATCCATAAAATATATTAAACAACACATCCATAAATACCCATGGATGATCTTCCTCACTACATCTTTGCTACCGATTAGATTACGTAAAATAAATATACAATCAAACTTTATTTATCGACTCGCAAGACGGGCTGTGACAGCTGTACAGAGCTAAGGTGATATTTCAAGTATACTCAAGCAATCAGTTTGTGACAAAAACAAATATGTCGATAGAGCCATCTGTTGTCACATGCTGTACGCTATCATTGATCAACCTCTGCTTAACACGTCTGCATATTACATGTATGTGTAGGAGAGGCTGAGGGAACATACAGAAAGTCGTTCTGAGTTGCTTCACTCCGTCAACTAGTTTTTCACAAGTAAAATATATTTTATATTAGCAGATACATTTAGTAAACCATTGCTAATATGCTGATGGAGAGTAATGAGGGAGCAATTAGTTTTAGATACAGTAAAATGGTATCCTGTCATAGCATTTGATTCTGACATATGTTTAATTTCTATGGACGCTATTACAATTGTACTGACAGTATAGCTTATTTCCCTATATTTGTCATTGTTCCCTTATTCGTTTCCGTCAGTATCTATAATAAATATGTATATCTGCTGAATACTTATCTTGATGCATCATTCCTATAACCTTTCAGCGATTATAGCAGCGACAGTATTTTTTTCTGAGAAATGTCACTGGCCAACATTACAGTCCAAAGCTTTATTAAATTTGTATTGCATGTCGGTCATAAGCTGGTCTGACCAATGCCACGTGCATACAACATACACACACGTTGCGTGAACCATCGAGTGACTGACGAGTTGGGGCCATGTCATCACATAACGTTAACGCCCTGGAGATTTCAAGAGATTCATGAAATTGTCTTATTGTCAATTTCTAACACAAAACATGAACATAAGTGTATCTTGTTGTTTTATAATCTTTAGTATAACTCCAACATATAAACATGTCACATGACAGGTATAAATTGCATCTCCTCGGTGAAATCGTAGAGATAGTTCTGTATCCAGTTCGTGGATTCTTGGAATGTAAGAGAATGTTATTTATTATTCGTCTTGACCAGAATCCCTTTGTGATCTTGAAAAAACGTTTGCAGAACGTGACCTCAGTATGGTCCAGACACGATGCCATGACATTTCAGTGATAACATAAAGCACAAATAGTACGGACATACATTGGTCAACAAGCGTTACCTGTCCTGTATTTATGTTCCTTCGTATCCCAGATGCTTGTACTTACCATAGTGTCACGAATACACTAAGCGATGCCCTGAACCTCCCGCAGGAAGTCTCGTCAAAACACACTAGGCTCTGCTTCAGCAGTCGTCGTAAAGACTGACATGACCTGATTGATCCATATGTGCAACATTATACTCGGATTTTGTCGGTAGTAAGATTATTCAGGAAGGTGCAAGTGCATGTTAGAATATAATTGCCACACTTGTAAACCTTCATACGTATCGTACGTCCCCTGGGGTGTAAACCATTGAATATCGATTATAGTGGTGTTCGTGAAATTGATCGCTTTCTATGTGCCCTTTACGAACAATATGTCACGAAGATGATGCACTGGCGTCAATACACATGGCTGATTAATTGTAAACTCTGGTTATTTAATCTGGTGATAAATCAACCTTAATCTATAGATTAATGGAAAGGTGTCTGTATGCCATGATTTTCAGAAATGTAACACTGTAAGATAATACATATAATAGAATGCAGCACGAGTTGGCAGATTACACAGTTGATAAGCCTATGTTTATATGTGCACCTCAGCAACACACTTGGAATAACAGAGCAGTTATAGACTGCATAGCTTTGAAAATAAGTCAACAAAGATATTTGAATGTGTGTTAATATATTTACTGTTTAACGTATTACAAAATCTAGTGGATATTCGGGTACTCCTAAGGAGGTTATTTGGAGAGGAATAGTTTGATCTGATCATACTGTAATAAACATAAGTTCTGACAGTTAAAAGATAAGATCAATATGCTTCATGTAATGTTTCATTAGCTATATCGACTAAACAGTTTCAATATTTCCCTGATAACATAATATATTGCTGTATACAGGTAATGCATATACAGAGAAACACCAGGAGCGTCACATTTCGACAAGGAGGTTCTGATGACACGCCGCTTAGTTAACGATTTAACAACTGAAGAAAATCTTCTTATGTCATCAAGTTGTATCAATAAGAACAATGGACAATCAAACAATTAGTGAGTCAACAACAATCAATCTGCATTTCAAAAGGTCTGATCTACAACAACTCTTATCTATATAGTCAGATAACACGTGTTCTCAGCATGTCGGAATCGGCCTGGTACAGTGTTGGTTTTCATTACTATAGAAATGTTTGAAACAAATACAGAATATTTACAATCATCCAAAAAGCTAATACATAATTTCCCTTTTCGAAACAAGAGCATTGTCATAATAGGAGATATTTCTGACATTAAATGACAAATACATGTTTTAAATATGAAATGACAATAAAGTATGTAACCATAGAAAATAATGGCTATACAACTGTACAACAGCGCACCACCCAGGCCATGCCATGTAGGCTCCAGTTATGTAGGCTCCAGTCACGTAGGCTCCAGCCATGTAGGCTCCAGTCATGTCGGCACTGGTTCGGGTATCCGACATCTATGGTGCTCCTGTCTTCATCTGCCTGTGGTACTAAACCATCTCTCTCAGACGCTCATATACCTCGAATTGGTACCTGACACCATTATCTTCCCTCGGCTCACCATCCACCTTCAGGTCACTGGAACAAGTGATACCAAAGACGTAATAAAGATGCCGTTTTATCTGTATTGTGAGTACGTATCGAGTTATATAGCCTTAAACGTTTTTCCTTTGAAACACATTTACCTGATTTTCTTGAACTTCTCCTCAAACTTTGGAAAAAAGACATCTGCATCAAAGGTTCCGAAGACTCTTGTCAAATATAGCCTTTGACACATCGGGTGATTGATGGCATTCTGTTAAAGAACGGCTGAGATAAGCACACCATGCAGTCTGGACCTAATATCGCTGCATTAACCAAACTCTATACATATGCAGACTTCATTATAAACGGTAAAGATAAAACAGACATTATTGTTGTTGCTTCTTTTGGTCAGCAATATATCAACTATATATCAGCGGCCTATAATCAGCAATATGTCAACGCGATGACAGCGGCCTGTAGTCAGCAATATGTCAACTATATATCAGCGGCCTATAATCAGCAATATGTCAACGCGATGACAGCGGCCTGTAGTCAAGAATATGTCAACTAGATGACAGCGGCCTGTAGGCAAGAATATGTCAACTAGATGACAGCGGCCTGTAGTCAAGAATATGTCAACTAGATGACAGCAGCCTGTAGTCAGCAATATGTCAACGAGATGACAGTGGCCTGTAGTCAGCAATATGTCAACTAGATGACAGCGGCCTGTAGTCAGGAATATGTCAACTAGATGACAGCGGCCTGTAGTCAAGAATATGTCAACGAGATGACAGCGGCCTGTAGTCAGCAATATGTCAACTAGATGACAGCAGCCTGTAGTCAGCAATATGTCACCGAGATGAGAGCAGCCTGTAGTCAGGAATATGTCAACTAGATGACAGCGGCCTGTAGTCAGCAATATGTCAACGAGATGAGAGCAGCCTGTAGTTAGGAATATGTCAACTAGATGACAGCGGCCTGTAGTCAGCAATATGTCAACGAGATGAGAGCAGCCTGTAGTCAGAAATATGTCAACTAGATGACAGCAGCCTGTAGTCAGCAATATCTCAAGTAGATGACAATAGTCTGTAATCAGTAATATGTCAACTAGATGACAGCGGCCTGTAGTCAAAAATATGTCAACAAGATGACAGCAGCCTGTAGTCAGCAATATGTCAACAAGATGACTGCGGCCTGTAGTCAGCAATATGTCAACAAGATGACAGCGGCCTGTAGTCAGCAATATGTCAACTAGATGACAGCGGCCTGTAGTCAGGAATATGTCAACTAGATGACAGCAGCCTGTAGTCAGGAATATGTCAACTAGATGACAGCGGCCAGTAGTCGGGAATATGTCAACTAGATGACAGCAGCCTGTAGTCAGGAATATGTCAACTAGATGACAGCGGCCAGCAGTCGGGAATATGTCAACGAGATGACAGCAGCCTGTAGTCAGCAATATGTCAACTATATGACAGCAGCCTGTAGTCGGCAATATGTCAACTATATGACAGCAGCCTGTAGTCGGCAATATGTCAACTAGATGACAGCAGCCTGTAGTCAGGAATATGTCAACTAGATGACAGCGGCCTGTAGTCGGGAATATGTCAACTAGATGACAGTGGCCTGTAGTCGGCAATATGTCAACTAGATGACAGCAGCCTGTAGTAAGAAATATGTCAACTAGATGACAGCAGCCTGTAGTCGGCAATATGTCAACTAGATGACAGCGGCCTGTAGTCAGGAATATGCCAACTAGATGACAGCGGCCTGTAGTCAGGAATATGTCAACTAGATGACAGCGGCCTGTAGTCGGGAATATGTCAACTAGATGACAGCGGCCTGTAGTCGGGAATATGTCAACTAGATGACAGCAGCCTGTAGTCGGCAATATGTCAACTAGATGACAGCGGCCTGTAGTCAGGAATATGTCAACGAGATGACAGCGGCCTGTAGTCAGGAATATGTCAACTGGATGACAGCGGCCTGTAGTCAGGAATATGCCAACTAGATGACAGCGGCCAGTAGTCGGGAATATGTCAACGAGATGACAATAGTCTGTAATCAGCAATATGTCAGAGTGATGACAGCGGCCTGTAGTCAGCAATATCTCAAGTAGGTTACAATAGTCTATAATCAGTAAAATGTGAACTAGATGTCAGTAGTCTGTAGTCAGCAATATGTCAACTAGATGACAGCAGCCTGTAGTCAGAAATATGTGAACGAGATGACAGCAGCCTGTAGTCAGCAATATGTCAACAAGATGACTGCGGCCTGTAGTCAGCAATATGTCAACAAGATGACAGCGGCCTGTAGTCAGCAATATGTCAACTAGATGACAGCAGCCTGTAGTCAGAAATATGTGAACGAGATGACAGCAGCCTGTAGTCAGCAATATGTCAACAAGATGACTGCGGCCTGTAGTCAGCAATATGTCAACAAGATGACAGCGGCCTGTAGTCAGCAATATGTCAATTAGATGACAGCGGCCTGTAGTCAGGAATATGTCAACTAGATGACAGCAGCCTGTAGTCAGCAATATGTCAACTAGATGACAGCGGCCAGCAGTCGGGAATATGTCAACGAGATGACAGCAGCCTGTAGTCAGCAATATGTCAACTATATGACAGCAGCCTGTAGTCGGCAATATGTCAACTATATGACAGCAGCCTGTAGTCGGCAATATGTCAACTAGATGACAGCAGCCTGTAGTCAGGAATATGTCAACTAGATGACAGCGGCCTGTAGTCGGGAATATGTCAACTAGATGACAGCAGCCTGTAGTCGGCAATATGTCAACTAGATGACAGCAGCCTGTAGTCAGAAATATGTCAACTAGATGACAGCGGCCTGTAGTCAGGAATATGTCAACGAGATGACAGCGGCCTGTAGTCAGGAATATGTCAACTAGATGACAGCGGCCTGTAGTCAGGAATATGCCAACTAGATGACAGCGGCCAGTAGTCGGGAATATGTCAACGAGATGACAATAGTCTGTAATCAGCAATATGTCAGAGTGATGACAGCGGCCTGTAGTCAGCAATATCTCAAGTAGGTTACAATAGTCTATAATCAGTAAAATGTGAACTAGATGTCAGTAGTCTGTAGTCAGCAATATTTCAACTAGATGAGAGAGTCCAGTCGTCAGCAACATGTCAACTAGATGCCAATAGTCTGCAGTCAGCAATATTTCAGCTATATGGGCGCAGCCTGTAGTAAGGAATATAAAACAATATGTAGCTCATGACATGAAGTCGTCCAGGTCATGGAGCACACATGTCCCAGAATCCTAACATTTAGAAATGTTTGTGTAGAAATAATCTGCGGATACACCCGTATCTCAGCGTACCTACCTCATACACGTGGGTGCCTCCCATCACCCAGATTGCCTCGATCTCACCTCGGCGGGGTCCAGAAACGGCATAATGTACAGCTTCATCAAATGACGTCACAACTTTGTGAAGACTCCTATGCGAACCCTCCCTATCGAAAGAGAGTACAGCACATGTACGTCGGTTCATCTGACTATGGTACATGTCAAACATGACAAGGACACCCTGTCAGTGTCGGTGTGCACACAGTTTACTCTAGCGTACATACAACAGATAGCTATAGGATATAATACATATTTCCCAGTGTGAGAACACCCATGCAAAACATACAGTTGTCATGACATGAGACAGAATCACATCGCGACACAAACACTCTCACTTTCATAGTTGCTGGATAAACGTGTCCTGTCGATGTATGCATGTAGACGGTACGATCTCTGCATACAGACAACGCATAGACACCAATGTAGAATACATAGCACATGGCACAACGGGTACACCTTAGAGTAGAACTGATGATAACGTTGATGACAGATGCGGCATCCTTCTCCTTCTCCCCGGTCAACATCCATGTCCTTCTTCCTTTGATTTGAACCACCTTCATACCTGCAGGGAACAAGTAACGTGAGTGAGTTAGTGAGTGAGTGAGTATGGTTTTACGCCGATATCAGCAATATTCCAGCAATATCACGGGTATTGGGCGTAACGAGCAAAAGCTTTAACCACAAGGCTACCTTCCGCCCCTGAACTTTCTGAATAAAACATAAATATACAGTGTAGGTGCAAGATAATAGTTGCATTGTACGTCTACATAATAAATTCTTCTTAGATTGCTGCGTTGATATTTACGATAACACTACTGCAAGCATTTGTGGTAACGTCATCGTTTTGTGAAGAAGCAGATCGCAATCTCTGGCTGTCTATCGCTCAGGAATGATGTACCTCTCAAATACACTAGTTTCTGGTATATTTGTGATTAGTCACGTGTTATTCTTTGCGAAGATGGACTCTTTTCCCACTTTATTCTGTGAATCTACTTATATCACACAGTTATCACTATGCCAGTGTAGCGATATTTGTATTATTTCCAAGAAATCAGAACCATCGATCGTTTAGATAATCATGTATACTTGGTGAAAAGGCCATAAAATAAAATAAACCCATTAAAATCCGAATGCTGGGACAAATTAGCAGACACAGGCAAGGACATAACCAACACCATTCTACACATTCATTCTGAACGTACATAGACCACAAGTTCGGCTCTTAGCAGCATATTCTTTCAGAATCAACTTACTTGGATCGGATGTTCGTTGTGTAAGACCTGTGTAGTATTCATAATCTCCCCTGAAAACGAGTAATACAATATCAGCAACTTCACATCTAAAGCATGAATCTGAAGAGACAAATCGATGTTTGACTTACATTTCCACAGTAAATAAACACTATCTTATCGCCTGACCCGTAACTCATAGCAATAAGCGTATGGCAAGCCGTTTTCACATTTATTACGGAATTACAGATATCTTCAATTGTTTTAAAGATATCTTCAATTGCATTGAAGATATCTTGAACGGAATTGAAGATATCTTAAATGCCGATAATTGTAGATACCTGCAATAAAATTTAAGATATCACGAAATGAATTAAGGATATGGCGAAGCGTATTACTGATATCTTGAAAAGAATTGCAGATATCTTAAATTCGATTATTGATATCAAAATATGACTAAAGACATCAAAATGTCATGTTTCGTTATGATGGCAATAATTCAATTCCTGATATCTTGAAACCAAACACAGATATCAATAATTAATTATTGATATATTTAATTGTTGCCAGTATTAAAGATGTTACATTAACAATGTTACTTAAATTAGATTACTGATATCAATAATAGATATAAAGATATCATCAAAATTATAAATAATATCTTTAATTTGATTTTTGATATCAGTAACGGTCAGAATTAAAGATATCTCTAATTGAATTAAAGATATCTCTAATTGAATTAAAGATATCTGTAATGCATTTGTGGATATGTATAACTTATTTCAAGATATCTTGAATTGAATTTAAGATATCTTGAATTTATTTCTAATAGATTTATGTACACTAGAATGTGATTGTTTAATGATATCTCAAATACATTTAGAGATATCACAAACTAATTTGTTGATATCACCGTAACATTTTAAGATATCAGTAATTGTATTATGGATATCAGGAATGAATTTAAGATATCTTTAATTATTTTTTGATATCTTAAAAACAGTATTGATATCTTTAAATAAAATACCGATATCTTTAAAACAATTGAAGATATCTGTAATGCCGTAATAAATGTGAAAACGGTTTGCCATACAAGCGTTCAGATATAGGATGTTTGTCGCAAACACTTTTCTTTGTTCTAATACTTAAATTTATAGTTCATGGTCCCCTACTTTTTCAGAGTACATGTGTGTATTATTAACGTCTAAATACTAAAAGGTGTCAATAATACTGGTTTAGTGGCTATGGTTATATGTCTAAATGCCGAGTAGTGCTACAGAAAGGGGTTTGCACTGAGACTGCTCTGGTAGTTGTGGACACATGCCTCAATGCCCAGTAGTGCTACAGAAAGGGGTTTGCACTGAGACTGCTCTGGTAGTTGTGGACACATGCCTCAATGCCCAGTAGTGCTACAGAAAGGGGTTTGCACTGAGACTGCTCTGGTAGTTGTGGACACATGCCTCAATGCCCAGTAGTGCTACAGAAAGGGGTTTGCACTGAGACTGCTCTGGTAGTTGTGGACACATGCCTCAATGCCCAGTAGTGCTACAGAAAGGGGTTTGCACTGAGACTGCTCTGGTAGTTGTGGACACATGCCTCAATGCCCAGTAATGCTACAAAAAGGGGTTTGCACTGAGACTGCTCTGGTAGTTGTGGACACATGCCTCAATGCCCAGTAGTGCTACAGAAAGGGGTTTGCACTGAGACTGCTCTGGTAGCTATGGACACATGCCTCAATGTTCAGTAGTGCTACAGAAAGGGGTTTGCACTGAGACTGCTCTGGTAGTTATGGACACATGCCTCAATGTTCAGTAATGCTACAGAAAGGGGTTTGCACTGAGACTGCTCTGGTAGTTATGGACACATGCCTCAATGTTCAGTAGTGCTACAGAAAGGGGTTTGCACTGAGACTGCTCTGGTAGTTGTGGACACATGCCTCAATGCCCAGAAATGCTACAGAAAGGGGTTTGCACTGAGACTGCTCTGGTAGTTATGGCCACATGCCTCATTGTTCAGTAGTGCTACAGAAAGGGGTTTGCACTGCTCTGATGTACTTGAAGTATACGTGAAGTAAATGTATTTCGACACATAGTCACTGTGCTTGATATACTGAGGTTGTTCTTAACAGGCATTGCTCATCTTGTGATGATATTATTAAAAATGTATTTGTTGTGACCAGGCATACATTATAAGTTGTAGCAACATCACGAGGGGTATATGGGGTTTTATGTGTCCCGCGTTAGGTTTTATGGAAAAAAGCATAAAACCCCATGTACCCGGAGTGATCCTGCTACGACGTATTTATCTTATCTACATGTTTTAATATGCCATTGTAAAATAATTCAAATAAATTCAAACTTGATAGAAAACAGCTGCTCGATTGAGGTGAGGTTAGCTTGCGATATGTCACGTGACATTCATTGGCTCGGAAAAAGCGTGCGGCTTTTGGCTTTGAAGCGGGGTTTTGAGGATTTATTCTGTCTCTCTGAAATGCACGTGCAGCCTTTAGTGCTCGTCGCGGGATATAAGAGATATATTCCCCCGCTGAGTGAGTGAGCAGGTCTCAGACGTTTACCATTTCGGTGAAACCCACGAGCTCGGGTATGGTGCTGACAAACCTAGAAACATAATCGGGGCGAACCGGGATTCGAACCCACAATCATAGGTTTCTGGCGTGCCCAAGGGACACAAAACTACACAACGAATCGCGGCGCCTTTGACGACTGGGCCACCCGTGCCCCCTCCCCGGCTGAGAAATGTATTACCCTCCAAGGCAGGTTACACAGGATTTTATCAAGATCACGTTGACCAATCAGATCACATCATTCTGGATGATATGATAAACGCTCATATTATCTCTTGTTTTGAGGAACACATTGTTATCGAGCAGTAGAGGCTTTTTCAAATATATCTGTAGCAATTAACGGTGGCAGCAAATTAAAAGATTGAAGTGATAGTAAAAGGTCGAGGGTTGTCTGCCGCAGCGAGTGTAATTTGGAGTTATTGTGAACATGGCAGGCGTGATGGTTCAAGACATTTCGGGATGGGAATTTGGTAGTTTCCACAAGGCGGCTGTTCCTATATCAGAGCGGCGAAGAGGGCGTTGTGAGGCCTTTATTGACCAGGGTGCGCTTGCACAGAGCCCACTTTGACTAAGAAGATCGTAACTTTGCCCTCAGTGCTATACTAAGTGCGCCAAACTCTTTCACAAAGCCCCCTTAGGCTAAGATCATCGTAAATCAACTGAGTGCGCGGAGAACGTGCGCGGGCCCTTGTGGGAAGGGAGACTACTCCAGTTAGGAAACTCAGGGGAATACGCATCTCCATTGTGCCAAAGAGCTTGACCTTAGTGCAAAGGGCGGTCGTAGAAAATCTTATCCTTGTGATGGCACTAAGGGTGCTTTGTGAAACCAGTGTAATTTTTAAAAGGGCACCCTTAACATCCTGCGCTGCAAATAGTGTCCTCGGAAAAGGGTTTTTTGTGCAAACGGGCCCTAACGTGTCTTATTTGCCAAGCTCGGTTTGGATACAAATTTGGAAACACCGAATTCTTGTCTGTTTCAAGACACTCAACAAGAACAAAATTCTGGACATTCGTCAGTGCACTAACATTCATTCTTGGGTTTGTAACGTATTACTGCCGCCACTTACTTCAGCCATTATATTGCCGTTGTTATTGTAAATCTAAAGCTGTGCTGGAATATAATTTGTTGATTATTGAATGATCTTGAGTGGTCGTTTACCGATTTCACACTTATATTCTGACGTACCGATTTCCGAAACCACTGCGTGTCAATCTGGGCAGCACCTCGTAACAACATACACCAAATGAATGTGTGTTTGTATATACATTCTTCGAGGTACCAAAAAACAAAAACAAGAAGACAGACAGACAGACAGTTAATTCACGGCGACCACTTTAAAGGAGGGTCTGATCTCTGACTATTCTCCAGGACGGGATCTTGCCTTTGTTACTGTTTCTTTCGCGTGGTTACCCGGATCATATCCCTGAAATCTCGATCAATTCGCGACCTATATTACGAATATGTCGCTTTTTATTGATAGTACAAGAGCGTATCGCCACATTGATGTCTTGGAATTAATAAGGAAAGATAGGCATTTGTCAGGTAATCTGCGTTGTACTACCCATAATTATACGTGTAATAAATTCATTAACTTAGTATCAAGTGAATGACGACAAATACACAGGTGTAGACCAGGAAACATGGGTGACAAAAAGTGAGTTGAAATTGTTGTTTTATATGCAATTTAGTTGCCTGAAAAATAAGGGCTGTTTCTGTTTGGGTGTATGAACTGAACTTCATTTTTGCAACAAAATACATAAATGTACACAAATATTTACTTTAATGTTTTTCACTATTCCCCGATCAAATGAAGTAACGTGGTCCGTCCGTCACGTTTCGTTCAGGAGCATAACTCATACATCATGCAATATTTCTTCATGCAACATCAGGCATAGATACACTGCACTTGGGACGTTTTTATTCATTTTTTTGCGTTTCCATGACAAGTGGGAGCTCCCGAGGGTAGGGGTCGTTTCAAGAGCATAACTCATAAAATGTTTCTTATTTCTTTAGCAATGGAGGTGGGTATTTTTAGATTTAGGCGTTAACAAGTTGAACTGAGGTTCACCCGAGGATTTCTGTTTGCGGTTTAGTCATCTGTCTAATGTTAGTTGTACTCACTGACCTGTTTATGTATAATCAGGTACTAGTATACGACATACACACTGTTCGATGTATACACATAGTTAAATTGTGAGGGATATTGACAATTATATAGCGTTAACGACTCCCTGTTGCACACAAAGTAACTTCAACCTCGAATTTACAATTCCAGTCGAAGTCCATTTTCGTATGCTGAAACATGAGATCAGTGCATAAAACATTAAAACGTGAACATTATCATTGCCACACCGAAATAATATGAAAAGGCGTCGTAATATGATAACGTCGGTGCACATCAAGGTAATAAATGTACATTTGAAAATAACTTTAAGTGATTATGTACTCTTGGTTATACCGTTAATATAAAAATACACTAACTACTAACCACATGCAAGCAGTGCCCAACAGCCTCTCTTAAACGTGACCAAGATATATATTTTGAAAACGCATATTCTATTTTATTTTGTAATATTTGGATAATGGCCACAGAAATTAAATCTTGTTCTGCGTATTTAGGCATGAGATAATCCAACCCAACACTGTCGTCGTACGGGTTCCAATGTCATTCGATGTGGACTTCACAAAAACACATCTTTTCTGATTTCGAGTTAAAATTGATTATGCGATTTCATTGTGTTACAGTAAATACATTTACATAGATTTCTTAATTACTGTTCTGCTGGCTCTATACGTGCGTGTATGTGATTGATATCACCACATACTAAACAGCTGGCGCCCTTGCATTGACTGATTGAATCGCGATATCAATATAAGTACACAGAAATTGATGTATTGCATTTTAAGAGAATAAAACATTCATTACGAGGAACAAATTGAGCGTAACTGCTTCTGTCGGCAACAGTGCTCGTAGGTGTGACGTTCCCACCAGCTGTGACATATTCTGACTACGTGAGCTGGCTGTAACGCCGATGTGAACAGTATTTGAGTTATATCACGGTATGTCGGAATATTACTTAACAGGTGATATATGTGTAATGACAAACACCTACACCTACTGAATTTATAGCTATGAATTTGACACATACATACATATTTTGTTTAACCATTTACGTCCATCTGTTACAAAGTTATCAGCTCTATCCCTAGCCCAACAGACGCACGTACGCACTCACTCACGCACTCACTCACTCACTCATAAAGTGTCATGACATCGTTCTGTAGTGCCATCGCATCGTAGTAAAGTGTCATGACATCCTTCTGTAGTGACATCGCATCCTAAAAAGTGTCATGACATCGTACTGTAGTGCCATCGTATCGTAAAAAAGTGTCCTCCCATCGTACTGTAGTGACATCGTACTGTAGTGACATCGTTATCGTAATAAAGTGTCATCACACCGTACTGTAGTGACATCGTATCGAAATAAAGTGTCATGACATCGTACTGTAGTGACATCGTATCGTAATAAAGTGTCATCACATCGTACTGTAGTGCAATCGTATCGTAATAAAGTGTCATCACATCGTACTGTAGTGCCATCGCATCGTAGTAAAGTGTCATGACATCCTTCTGTAGTGACATCGCATCCTAAAAAGTGTCATGACATCGTACTGTAGTGCCATCGTATCGTAAAAAAGTGTCCTCCCATCGTACTGTAGTGACATCGTACTGTAGTGACATCGTTATCGTAATAAAGTGTCATCACACCGTACTGTAGTGACATCGTATCGTAATAAAGTGTCATGACATCGTACTGTAGTGACATCGTATCGTAATAAAGTGTCATCACATCGTACTGTAGTGACATCGTTATCGTAATAAAGTGTCATCACACCGTACTGTAGTGACATCGTATCGTAATAAAGTGTCATCACATCGTACTGTAGTGACATCGTATCGTAATAAAGTGTCATCACATCGTACTGTAGTGCAATCGTATCGTAATAAAGTGTCATCACACCGTACTGTAGTGACATCGTATCGTAATAAAATGTCATCACATCGTACTGTAGTGACATCGCATCGTAATAAAGTGTCATACCATACCCAATGGAAGCTTGGTTCACCTAGTCTTTCGTGAAGTTATATGACCGCGAAAAGACAATTAAATGTAGAAAACGCGAAATATTAGAGTCCAGGTGAAATGTTAAGTAAGAAAGGCTTCCGGCCAATGAGAGGTCGTCATTTAATCACGTGGATTATTAGTGCGATAATTTAGCGCTGACGCTTAATGCACAGGATTGTGTGCTGCACGTGCAATCCATGCAAAACGTTCTGCGGTTTAAGTCACAAAAACGATCTCATGACAGTACGACGGACGTCAGTCTATGTTGAGGTGTGGGAGTTAGATCACCTCAGCTCCCAGATCGCTTTGTTCAACGGAAATGTTACGAGGTGTTTTACGAATTCGTAACAAGATATTAAAAACTGTCTGAAGTATCGTAAAATAACTCTCTAATATAAATGCATTTTGTGTGTGTGTGTGTGTGTGTGTGTGTGTGTGTGTGTGTATGTGGGGGTGGGGGTGGGGGGGGGGGGGGGGGGGGGTGGGGGGGGGGGGGGTGGGTATAATTAATCAAGCTTATGTAAACACGAGACATAATAATAATAAGTGGTCTTTGTTCATTTACAGTTAAAGTCGGTATACTACAAACTAGGCTTCCTTTATTGCGCCGTGCTGGGCACTGGTGACTTGATGGAGGCACGATGGGCTTGTGGCTCTGCCCTGTCACACAACAAGCAGTATACGCCATACCACATAGCAGTACTTACTTCAAACTGGGCCATGGAAATCCCTCGCCGAGTCCGATGCCGCGATTTGAGTCGCACATGGCTGTACATATATTAACAGGTGACACTCGATTGAGGTCAGTGTCTGGTGACGATGGTTTTCGAGCTTCCATCAAGGTAATGACGATAAAACAGCAGGTATATGTGCTTGTGGCGAAACTAAGAGGTATGTAGTGTTGCAATGAACATTATGAGGTTATATCAACATGAAAGTAGGGGACTCGCGGGTTCAGAAATGCTGGTCCAGTAGATGACTGAAAGGTGGAAGTTGTGATGGCCTGCTTTATGTTATCGATTTGATCAAGGGAGGCAACTTCATCGTTACAGCGAAATGGTGCAAGCCGGCCTATAAATTACTATTATGATAGTTATCGGAACTATTTGTTTTGTTGAATCAGAATTGTTTTGTAATAATCATACCATGAAGCATAAATAAGACATTCATTTATATAATACATAATAGTGTTTTTTTGGTTATCATCTATAGATATACTTTGAAACTTGGATGTATTTAAGATTACATGTGAACTATATTCTGTGAACTTATTGTTTGTATACTCCAAAATGAAAAAAAATCATAAAAAGACATTCATTTACATCACATGATAAACTCGAACATTGCTGTATAGACAGACTCGCCATACATTTTCTGCAGTCACTCGCATAGAAACAACAGACAGACAGACAGTGTACTTGCATATGTAACAACCTGACCATTAATACATCATGTATACAATGTTTGTTTGTTGTTTGACGCCGCACTCAGCAATATTCAAGCTGTATGACGGCGGTCTGTAAAAAATCGAGTCTGGTCCAGACAATCCAGTGATTGACATCAGGAGCATCATCATCCACGCAATTGGGATCGATGACATGCATCAACTAAGTCTGACCACCCAATCCCGTTAGTCACCTCTTACGACAAACATAGTCGCCTGTAACAGCAAGCATGGGTTGCTGAAGACCTATTCTACCCCGGATATTCACGGCTCTCATGAAAACAATGATATTGTACCTTGTTGCAGCGCATCCTAGACATTGTAATTTCATAATATGTAGGACAGGTTTACCAAAAACGCATTGACTTGTAAAATTTCAGCTTTTGGCTTGTGGCAGGGTATAAGGGATGTATTCTTCCACTCGGAATTTTGTCCCCTCCTTGGCGGGATACGTAGTAGTTTATCAAGATCACGTGAACCAATCAGATCTCATCATTCTGAGCCAGAGGTAAGATAAAGCTCTTTCACCTTGCTTAGCAAGCGTCTCACAGGCTCAAGTGTATATATTTCTACACGAAAATAAAATACCTAAATAATTGTAATACAATTGATGAGCCTTCTATTGTATCAGGTTTTATACTGTTTTGTATAAACTCAGCAGTGAAATCTAATTATGTATGAATTGTGAGGAAAAAATGGATCCTTGTGATACAATCGTTATCGACATTACGCTAAATAAATAGTAGTAGATGTTTGAGTAGAAATACGTGTTAACTTGACAATAATAAGACTACCGACATGGAATGAGGGAGATAATGGTATGCTTAGCGTCAGCAAATATGTCAAATATCAGTCACCTTTCAGGTCTGTATCAATTTTGTATAGACAGAGTTGTTACTGCTGCAGATAGCATTGCAATAAACCCAAGCATTTGTTTGAAGTAATGATATGAAGGAATAAACATGAGTCACGCGTTATTATATAATGAGTGAGTGAGTTTGGTTTAACGCCGGTTTGAACATCATTTCAGTGTCACCACGGCGTGTCAGCTTGGTGTGAGAGGAAAGCCCCCAGTGATACAGGTCAAGAACTCTTAACCACTTAAGTTTGTTTGTTGTTTAACGCCGTATACTCGGCAATAATCCAGCTGTATGACGGCTGTCTGTAAATAATCGAGTCTGTACCAGAAAATCCAGTAATTGACATCATGTGCATCGACATGTACGCACTAAGGATACGATGACTTGTACGCACTAAGGATACGATGACATGTACGCACTAAGGATACGATGACATGTACGCACTAAGGATACGATGACATGTACGCACTAAGGATACGATGACATGTACGCACTGAGGATACGATGACATGTACGCACTAAGGATACGATGACATGTACGCACTAAGGATACGATGACTAGTACGCACTGAGGATACGATGACATGTACGCACTGAGGATACGATGACATGTACGCACTAAGGATACGATGACTTGTACGCACTAAGGATACGATGACATGTACGCACTAAGGATACGATGACATGTACGCACTAAGGATACGATGACTTGTACGCACTAAGGATACGATGACATGTACGCACTAAGTGAGTGAGTGAGTATTGTTTTACGCCGCTTTTTCCATTTTGTTGTTTGTGTTCAAGTGTGTGATAAACAATCATTGAGACACATTGTCACGTGCCATGGTCACATTCATAAATTTGGTGGCATAGCTCAGGTTGTCTCTGTCATAAATCATGAATACTCTGCACCCTCTCCATGCAAGTCAGATAGAGGTATGATAAATCGTTACGATCTCGTCTGTATCCCTCCACCCTGTGGCAATCCATGGACGTCAACGCTCATTCTTCACGTTGTGGCTATATTACCAACATGTCGGAAATACAGGTATATACGTATCACTTGTCATGCAGACAAAGCTATTATTGAGGTGTTTATTGCTTTCTGTGTTACACCAAGTCAACGGGGACAATTCTTCTTTATTCCAAAGTAAGCGTTGGGTATTATTTGCTGGAAGCTATGACTTTACAGGTGGTGTGTCCTTAGTCAGAATGTCTGCTCAGATTGGCAAAATCAAAACAAAGGGTATTTGGCTTGGTATATCGATTATCTGATATAGTTCGATGATGGTCAAATAGCAAATCCCCGTCCACTGATTTACCCACCTGAATTAGAAATAAAGGAGACCCGTGAAACCGCCTAAACTGTTTCATATTTAGTTCTATGCATATATATTCAGAGTGACAAAACACTATTCACAAGACAAGCGGGATGACTTTAACTTTCCAACATGTCCAGCAATATTCCATCAGTTCCAACTTTTGGTGTCTGCACTTCACAACTTTTGAGTGAGTGAGTGAGTGAGTATTGTTTTACGCCGCTTTTAGCAATATTCCAGCAATATCACGGCGGGGGACACCAGAAATGGGCTTCACACATTGTACCCATGTCGGGAATCGAACCCGGGTCTTCGGCGTGACGAGCGAACGCTTTAACCACTAGGCTACCCGACCGCCCCTGTACGCACTAAGGATACGATGACATGTACGCACTAAGGATACGATGACATGTACGCACTGAGGATACGATGACATGTACGTGTTAGAATAGGTCTTCAGCAACCCATGTTTGCTGTAAAAGGCGACTATGCTTGTCGTAAAAGGCGACTAACGGGATCGGGTGGTCAGGCTCGCTGACTTGGTTGAAACATGTCATCGATCCCAATTGCGTGGGTCGATGGTCATGATATCAATCACTGGATTGTCTGGTCCTGACTCGATTATTTACAGACCGCCGTCATATAGCTGGAATATTGTTGAGTGCGGCGTTAAACAACGAGATATGCGAGATACAAATGACACTATAGACAATGTGAGATGAGGCCTCGCGTGGGTTAATCTGGTTGTCTGCTAAATATAATAATTGAGTACGTTGAGAGGATTAAGATTGATATTGAATACTGGGTTGAGTGAACTGGTGTTGATCAGGTAGTGTTGAATGGTTGATCTAGCTGGGAGGGCAGTGCGTAGATGGTAGAAGGTACATTGCACATTTGGCCCATGTATAAACACACCAGGCTGGGTACATGCGGAAGTCCTAACAGCAACTGGATGTGTATAGGACAGGGTGTTCGTGCATGGCAGACACCCGGCGTCAGCTCATCAAGTACAGTGGGCATCGATGTGAGTCTGGTGTAAGGGTGGACACGTGATGGGTGATACCTAGATAGGTGAACATGAGGTAAACTGATACGTCACACCCTGTTGTGACCGAGTATAGCAATCAACCGTGGAAAAACATAAACATGGTTACTAGATAACAATCTTACAACGCACAATAACACGGGAATGACGCAGCAGTAGAATGGATGGCGTCAGTGTGTTCGTGTCTCCCGCTGCGGGGTGCCGCTTCCTGGCATCATGCCCCAGGGGGTGGAGAGACGGGTAGAGCACGCAAATAAAGCCCGCTGCCTACCCTGCTTACCCAATGACCCAAGGCCGAGATTCGAGGACGCCATTTAATATTATAATAGGTAAACTGATTTACTAGTATGTTAAGACATATTGCTACCCACTACAGAGTTTGTTTGAGTGATAGGGATAAATACCACATGCCATTTATACACATGTATATACTCGCCCCAAATAGTAGGTTATCGTGAAATGAGCCTGTTATGATCGGTCGTCAGAACTTTGTTCGTGCGACTGTCGGTGTACCCGACACAAGATCAAAGACGGAGTGACAGTCCAGCTGTGAAGACAGAAGCTGTCTATGCTAGTCGTCCTCTTTCTGACATTTACGTACTTAGTAGTTATATTTCTCAATAACATTATTATGTATTAAAGCAAATAACAAAAACGGACATTATTATTTATTTACATGACATAAGAATAGCAAACATAATTTGTGAGTTTGCAATATCTTGCTTATAAATTTTGACAAACAGTTTAATTATTTAAGATTGAAAGTACAAAAAAGGCGTTTAAATGTAAACATGTTTGGAAATTTTAAATATGTTTGTGGTATATACAATTATGTATAATAATGACATGCTTCACAGCTGAAAATGTAATGAAACAGTTTTCTCTGGCAATGCCAGTCCATCGACCTATCTCAACTGGGAGCTTATGTTTCGTTGTAATATATTGAAGAAAAGGATAAGCTATAGGTTCGGGCCAAAAGAAGTAGCTGCTAAAAGAACGTAGTTGTTTTAGATATTGCTGATATGTGCCTTTAGAACTTGACATGGTATCACCATTTTTGAATATTATGATCGATCAGCATTCTTTCCACAGTTGAGACAAGCCACCGAAATGTTTACATGAACATAATGTCAATGGATACAGCAAGAGTGTAATTCTAAAACCAAGGTTGAAAGACCCAAGGCATGCAGGTCTTCGACGAGGCTAATTTTTAGTCCGAGAAATAAAGTTTTCTTGTTTAAAAATCTATATTTACTAAATATAAAATCAAATCCAAATGGACGCCAGAACAAGCCTTAATTCCTAGAGTTGAGGCCATCTAGACTTGCCAAATCATTCTAGACTTGAGTTGAGTTTAATTTATTCTCAGGGTCTGGTA